TTGTTCATCACATGTATCTCCTATTAAAGTAGCAATCTTTCGTGCTTGTTTAGTACTCAATGTAGTTACAATAGAACCCTCTAAACCTATATATATTAAAAGGAATGAACAAAAAATAAAACATAAATCGCAAGAATTTTATTCATAATCGACAAATATGAAAATACAACATATATAAAGAAAAGAACAAAACTCGAAACGAATCAAGAGGGTAAATAAATTATACAAATAGATACAAACCAGAAGGAACTGTCGGTATAGCGGCAACTTCCCTATTCCAATGAAATGATTGAGTTCGCCTTAATCTTCGAGAAGATTGCCCACATTCACGCGAATGATTACTTCCTTCCATAGATGTGCTGTAATTATATTCTATACATACAACAAACTAAGTTCCTTTAAGAAATGTATTTAAACAATGCGGTAGGGAAAGAAGCTCACATGTAGTAAAGAAATTTAAACGCAAATTGTAAAATATAACACTCACTTAAATACGAAGCACACATGCACTCACATGTACTCATTCGTTGTCGATAAAATATAAGGATACCTCCAAGGTATTTCAGTGTACAACATTAACATTTTCCAATACCAGAGCTTTTCTTTTATAAAATATTTCCATGATTGACGGTAATGAATAGCAATTGGAATGTAAATAAACAAAATAGAATATGGAATCATGAAAAATCAAATGGCATCTATCATAAATAGCATTACTAATTTACTTTGTTTCAGAATTCCTCCAAATAGTTTAGGTTCTCCAACACTAACATTAATTACTTACCAAGTGAAGAAAAGAACAAGATGATTAGATGCAAACCTAACAGATTTCAAAGTTACTATTTGGTTATTTAAAAATGCAATATGCTCTAGTGCAAATTTTGATAGAAATAGCAACATTCAATCACTTGAAATAACAGAACTAACACATGTATCACAATTCACAATTCTGGACATTCGATAGCTAGTAGACATTCCATTCTAATATTTGGTAAAATCCACAAATTAGTTCAAGTACTGGGGTTTCACACAAAGGGTTATTTCAAATAAGAGGCTCCATGTGCTGCAGGCAGCAGGTTCCTCAATCCTCAGTCCTCACTTCCATAAAAAAATGCTCAACAGAGGATTTTCTGTGGATGACTCGCAACACTATTTCATAATTTTCTGAAATTCTTAAAACACTTGCAATTTCTTCATCAACATAAGCACATCATATCATCAAAAAGTAAAGAAAACAGTCTTTACCACGACCACTTCGGCCCTTCCGAACAACATTATCATATAAAATTTTGAATTGAATTGAACCTTACAAGTAATTATAACGGACAGCGAGGCGGTTCAATGGTTCATTCTACCAAGGCAATCATAGGCTAGTG